TACAGGTGCATCTCAAATAAATTAGAATATCGTGGAAAAGTTAATTTATTTCATTAATTCAATTCAAAAAGTGAAACTCATATATTATATGGATTCATTACATACAAAGTGAAATATTTCAAGCCTTTATTTGTTTTAATTTTGATGATTACGGCTTACAGCTAATGAAAACCCAACAATCAGTATCCAAAAAAAAAAGGATTTTTAATACGGAAATGTCGGCCTTCTGAAAACTATGTTCATGTGTATGCACTCAGTACTTGGTTGGGCCCCCTTTTGCATGAATGGCTGCATCAATGCGGCGTGGCATGGAGGCGATCAGCCTGTGGCACTGCTGAGGGATGGAAGCCCAGGTTGCTTTGATAGCGGCCTTCAGCTCGTCTGCATTGTTGGGTCTCGTGTCTCATCTTCCTCTTGACAATACCCCATAGATTCTGTATAGGGTTCAGGTCAGGCCAGTTTGCTGGCCAATCAAGTACAGTAATTCCATGGTCACTAAACCAGGTCTACTTTTGGCAGTGTGGGCAGGTGCCAAGTCCTGCTGGAAAATGAAATCAGCATCTCCATAAAGCTTGTCAGAAGAAGGAAGCATGAAGTGCTCTGAAATATCCTGGCAGACGGCTGCGTTAAATTTGGACTTGAGAGAACACAGTGGACCAACAGCAGCAGATGACATGGCTCCCCAAACCATCACTGACTGTGGAGACATCACACTGGACTTCAAGCAACTTGGATTGTGTGCCACTCCACTCCAGACTCTGGGGCCGTTTCTCAATCTCGAGGATACTGGCTTCCAAGCCAATATTTCAAGGATGCTACGTCATCGAGTGCCGCCGAAGGACTGTTCCAATCTCCAGCATACTTGGAATTCCACCAAGGCCGCGTCCTTGGTTTGGGGGAAATTTCGAGGCTGCGCATGGGTAGACTTTGCGTCCTTAAAATCCCCACAATGCTTTGCGCACGGACCAATTTCAAAAACCCTTGCGGAGAATGGCTGAACCGACGCAGCACACATTCAAATGTAAGTATTGTAGTGGTGTAGAACGTGTGTTGGTAAATATGTTACTTTGTTACATTTGTTTATCACCCAAAAAGTGTTCCGTGAAAGTAAAGCAAGTTTATAATTAGATAGACATCGTGAGGTATTTATTTTCGGTAGTTTATGTTGAAACCGTTAGAGAGAGTGGCACACTTGTTAGCCTGTTCCATTCTTCTTCGTTTTCCGAAGCCGTTGCTTGGAAGCAGACTTGCTTCGTTTCTGAAGAAAGTGACTGGGAAGTACGCGACTACCAAGCCAGCATCCTCGCGATTGAGAAATGGCCTGGGACCTTGATTTCCAAATGAAATGCAAAATGTACTTCCATCTGAAAAGAGGACTTTGGACCACTGAGCAACAGACCATCTCTTTTTCTCCTTAGCCTAGGTAAGACGCTTCTGACGTTGCCTCTGGTTCAGGAGTGGCTTGACACGAGGAATGCAACAGTTGTAGCCCATGTCCTGGACACGTCTGTGCGGGGTGGCTCCTGATGCACTGACTCCAGCCTCAGTCCACTCCTTGTGAAGATCCCCCACATTTTTGAGTGGCCTTTGCTTGACAATCTTCTCAAGGCTGCGGTTATCCCTGTTGCTTGTGCACCTTTTCCTACCACACTTTTTCCTTCCACTCAACTTTCTATGAATATGCTTGGATACAGCACTCTGAACAGCCTGCTTGTTTACAATGACCTTTTGAGGCTTACCCTCCTTGTGGAGGGCGTCAATGACTGCAGTCTTCCCCATGATTGTGAAGCCTACTGAACCAGATTGAGAGACCATTTAAAGGCTCAGGAAACCTTCGCTGGTGTTTTGAGTTCATTAGCTGATGTGACAGATGTGACACCGTGGGTCCACAATATTTAATTTTTTGAGATACTGATTGTTGGGTTTTCATTAGCTGTAAGCCGTAATCATCAAGATTAAAACAAATAAAGCCTTGAAATATTTCACTTTGTGTGTAATGAATCAATATAATATGAGTTTCACTTTTTGAATTGAACTAATGAAATAAATTAACTTTTCCACGATATTCTAATTTATTGAGATGCACCTGTACATCTTGGCTTTCACTTGTGTAACTAATGGAGAAAACAGATGGATATGAAGTAAATGCTCAAACTGCTTATCATAGTTCTCATACTACCCAAGCCAATGTTTTCTCTAACAGCCGAAAGAGACTTAAAAAAATCTAAAATGTGATAACTTCATTAAAGCCAACCCATTGATGTGTGTGTGTTTGCAGGCTGTACGAGCAGCTGGAGGAGGTGAAGCATCAGAAAGCCCTCTGGAACAGACAGGAGGCGTATGCAAAAAACAGACTGAAGGCCAAGGAGTTCCACAAGGTAAAGCACTTTAATTCTGAGTGTTTTCAAAAGACAATGTGATCCTAACAGAACTGCCAGCTCCAAAGTTTGTTTTTATTTGCCTACTATCTTTTCACAGAAAACCTTAGAGAAACTTCGTGCCAAGAAGACTCTGTGATGACTTTGAATGTATACTTAGTTCCATGGTGTAAATTTAAATTATTTTAAAAGTATTGTCAATAAAGCATTTTAAGTTATTTGAATCTCCTTTTTGCCATTGTGTTAAATATTTAAGGAAATACAAGGTGGATGTCAACACTACCCTTCAGATGAGTTGAAAAAACATTCATGAAGTCAATTAGAGAATTACAAAACTGGCTACTATTAAACAGTGAGGGACGATCTCACATCACCTTTTATGTAACAGTTTAAGATTTCACACATGACTTTCTAGTTGTTAAGTTTGGATAAAAATAATAGTATCCCATTATCCAAATGCTGTTTCAAAGGTTTTTACAGAAACAATAATGCAGAACTTTGGAAACGAAGGCCTCAAACTGTGGGTTTAATCCTGTCTCTGAGGTCTCATTGCACCGCCCTCTAATGGTCTGAGTGGATGCTGCTGGGAACACTCGAGGGTCCTCCGCCCACAGAAAGGCCACAGTGGAGGTGTGAAACGAAAGCGTTCGGGTTATGAATAGTGTCTCCATGAGGTTTAGAGTTTAGAGAAAGCTATCGTCTTAGGACTCTTCTTCTCCATGGAGGCCTGAGCGGACTTCATCACATCTTCAGTCTGAAGCATGCTCATGTTCCAGTTGGCCTGGGAAAGAAAGAACAAGGTGTTTATTAAGATAAAGGCTGATCCATGGTCTGACTGGTGGGGTGATGTGAGAAAAATCCTCCAATAGTTTCTTATTTTTAAAGTCTGTGCTCTCACCATGTAGTCCAGCCCCTCGGCCACACTGTGGTCTCTGGAGTAGATGAGGTTGATCTTGGTGCCCTGCACAGCCACAGGGCTGCGGCCGGCGATCTCCCCCGCCATCTGCAGAGCTCCGGCCATCATTGCCTCCTTATCTGCAAACACTCGGCTGGAGGAAGCACGAGGGAAAGTGTTAAGACTGATTGCTTAACAAATAGTTCAAAGTTTCTCTTTGAAATTGAGGTGCTCTTTTTATTTTTGGCTTAAAAGTGTATATTAACAATAAGGTGGCTAAAACATTGAGAAAACCAATTAGTTGTGCAGCTACTCTAGCCCCTATTGTTTTTAGATGCAGCAGCAGGGGTCTGTAATATAAAGTAGGTTTACAAGATTCAATAGATTAAAAAGTGGGACTTAGCCTGAACATTCCTGATTTTACACTGGAAACTAAAACGTCTCTGCATGTGGTCCATAAAAAGTCTGTTAGCTACTCGTCCAAAACATTTGTAAGTTAAAGGTTGATGCAGCTGATCACTTTTTGACCAGGAGAAAAGGCCTACACACACATCAACACTGACCAAAAATGAACTAAAAACAGCCTGACTTGATGACACAGGTGTGAAAGTGTATGGTCTATAGAGAGTGCTTTACCTGACCAGGCCGCTGCTCTTGGCTTCATCAGCGAACATCTTCCTGGCAGTCAGAGCCAGCTCGTTCACCAGGCTGCAGGAACAGAGATACATAGCATTTATATATAGAGAGCAGCATACATTTTTAAAAACAAACTGATTTGAATCAGACTGGGAAACATTTTCAGCAGCAGTTAAAACAAGGCATTGCACATAATGTGAGTAGAAAAAACTATAAACATCTCAAAATATTAAATAAAACGGAACAAAAAAAGGTAAATATAAACAAGTTGATTGTGAAAGACAAGAATCTGTAGACTGTCTGACGAATAAACACTATGAAGGCAGGGCCAAATCACAGCTAGCAAAATGTAAAGGTTGGATATTATTTACATAGGCCCAATCCCAAACCTAACCCTGCACACTACCCCTCCGTTTGCGCATTCACGCGGAGGGTCCGCCATATTAAGTGCTGTTCCAAACCAACGAGTGTGGAGGGGGACTGGGCTATCCCTCAAACAGCGAGTCTGCAGCGGTGCTGACTTGAGACTGGTCTCTACCTGACCGGAGTCAACGCTGTGTGTGTCCGTCAGGAAACAAGCTGTTAACAAGTAGTTCCAGCAAACATCCACTGATAAACTGCGATGTTAAAGAGCAACTTCCAGGTTAAAAACACCTGTGAATAAATGTGTAGGAAAATGATGAATACACTACAGTGACATCTGGCGTCGTTTTTGTAAGAAATATTTCATAAAAAAGCCTTGGCACGTGACCTCCCGCGTGTGACGTAACATGGGGGAAACAAGGGGGAGCGCGGTCGGTGTAACGTATTAACAAACATGGATCCCAATGCTAGTTTCGACACAGAAGAAGTTGAACATGAATATTCGAATGCATATGACGGACCACAACCTTATAATTATGAGCCTGCTCGGCGTCCAAGAGACCAGGAGCAGCCAAGGATTAGAAGAAATAACGGCCATCGGAGAGAAATTGAGCTGTGGTGTGAGGAGAACCAGTGGAGAACTGGGCAGCTATCTTGGTGAGTGACCGGCGTTAGCTACAGAATGTTAGCTAACGTCACATCACAACATTGTGAAGTTAGCTATCATATATCAGGCTATAACTAAAGTAGCATTGATAATATAGTAACGTTACTGGCAGGACTGTTGATACTGATCCATAACAGAAACTAATGCGCAAGTATCAGCCGTATCTCGCGTTACCTAATGCAACTCCACATTACGGTGCTGTGTACCGGAGGGGAGACGCGAGATACGGCTGATACTTGACGATCTGGCGGAGAAATGTTGTGGA